ATTGCCAAGTAAAATAATCTCACATCCATAACCTATGCATTTGACTTTTGTCTCATAAGCAAAGAACTCTGTGCTTGTCTATGTTAAATTTATTTCTTTTTAATTTCTTCAATCTATAGTGATCACTTTGAATTTTATTTCGTTATTCTAAGGTATTAAAGCTAGCATGGTATAGTGGGTAAGGTGTTATACTAGGAGCACAGAGACCCAGGTTCTAGTCCTTCCTTACGCATTGAAGCCAGCTGTGTGACTTTGGGCTAGTCACTTCCTCTGAGCCCAGATCAGCATCAAGCTTTGCAACAAGCCATTGATAAATAAATCCCCTCATTGCATCAATAGCTTTGCTGTAAGAATCAGGTGAGTGCAGTGCAAAAACAAGCAGACCTTGCAACTAAGTGGGACAAATGCGAAGAAGAAATAACAACTTCTAAAGTATTACCTAATACCCAGTTTGATATAGTTTGAAAAGTTGGTAAGCATTCCCTCTGCTTCTTCATCCAAATTATTAATGAAAATGTTGTAGAGGTCCCAGGACCGAACTTTATAGCATCCCACTCAATATCTCTCTCCAATTTGATAATGATATTTGAACCAGCTCTGTAATCACTGAATTGCCATCCTATCCAGCCCACAAAGCTGTTTGGCTAATCAGCATGTCATAGGATACTTTTATCAAATGCTTTGTTGAAATCAAGACATAGCATTCCCACAATCTACTAAAGAAAATAAGATTAATCCAACAAGGTTTCATCTAGACAAATTAGCACTGAGGTCCTGCAATTAACTCACTGTGTTCAAGTGCTTAGAGAGTGACCTCTGTTACTTAGTTACTCTAGAATCTTCTCAAATAGCAGCATCAGACTGACTTGTCTACAGTTTGTTAAACATCCCTTTTTTGTCTTTTTGATGATAGAGACATTTTCTCTTCTCCAGATATCTGGCACTTCACCTGTTCTGGTTTTCTGAAAGATAACACATAGTTTTAATTAGAATATCAGGTAGTTCCTTCTTTATCCTAGGATGCAAGTGTTCTCTTCCTGGAGATTTAAAGTAATTGAAAATAAAGAAGTATTTCCTTACCAAGTTTCTGTCAGTCATAAGCTTCAATTCTACCCTTTCATCCTGCTCTTCCTGGTAAACATTTTTTTTTTTTGGTTGAAGAAAGGAGTTGGTCTGCCTTGTTACTAATTAATATTTTGCCTTCTTCAGTAAGCAGCTGTTACATTATTTTCTTCTTTCTTGAGTTGAACGTACTGTATCTATCGAAGTCTTTTTCATTCTTTAGCAAACATCCTTTACTAACTCAATTCATTCTGAGCTTTTGCTTTACTGCTGCCAGCTTTACAGTTCTGAGCTACCTATCTCTACTCTTCCTTTGTGCCTGGCCCTCCTTCCATTTTGTGTTTTTTGATCTTCACTAAGTGTTTTTACAGTTTTATATAATTGCTTCTATTGCTTGCCTTCATTTTTCTCTTCAATGAAATAGTTTGTAATTGTGCTTTTAGTATCTCTATCTTAAGTTCTCCTATTCCCATTAGTTCTCCTGCTATGGGATCCTATATATAATTGTTCTGAATTTATTATAATCTGCTCTTTTGAAGTCCAAGAAATGCATTTGACTAAATTTCATTTTTATTTCCTTTAAAATCAAGATCTCTACCATTTCACAGTTACTTTCCCCCAATGTTCCTCCTACTTTCACTTTATCAGTTAGTTAAGTCTTCCCTATTGATTAGCATAGACAATTTCTTGGAAGGACTAATCTTGGTAGAATTTGTCAGAGTAATAACACTCTCCAATTAATGTGACTTCTTGTATCTTTGAAAGATTTGTAGTTTACTTTTGAAGGCATCATCCATAACTTCTCATTTGGGGGAGTTATAGTAAACATGCAACAATATTGCTTTTACTTGTTCCTCCACTTATTTTAACCCAGTTGTCTATATTAATACCAAGTTGATTCATTTGGATTTCTGAGCCAAAATGGATATTTTTAACAAACAGGAAAACTCATTTATTTATTTATTTATTTACAACTTCTAAAGTA